AGATTGTTTGTTACCAAGAGACCAATTAAAATAATGAGAAAACCAAATATAAAACTATAAAATACCTAAAAATAATAAGAACAATTTGATCAACTCAATATTCTTTCTTTTATTACCATTTCAACATTAGAAACATGATGTGTTTTCATAACTTTTTCTTGATAATTACCAATAATCGCATCAGCAACAAGAGCCAAACAAATAAGGATTACACCTGAAGATTAATTATTTTGATTACATAAAAAAATTAGTTTTTTTTTCCTATTAAATTTACCATATGTATTAAAATTTGGTTGTACTTTGGAATCGGCTAGAGTAAAAAATATTAATCCAATTGACATACAAAAAGCAGCAGCAACATCATAACGATTGAATCTTTTTTCTTGATAAAAAAGATCATTTATTTCTTAATAGTTTTTTTTTGTTTATTTTCTTTTACTTTGAATAATAATACCACCAATTAATACAGGTATTAGTTTACAACATTTGAATATTAATAGTGTTCTATATGAATAGATGTATAAGGATAATAATAAAATGAAATATGAAAATTTTCTTACGGATAATTTAAATAACCAACGGCATAATTTGATAAACCCATAGTACTGACAGACAATGAAGCAAGAATTATGTAAGATCGATAACTTGCTCTAGAAATAAAAAGATTTTTGTAGAAAAGAAATATTTCAAATAATTCAATACCTTCGTTGACTTAAGCCAATAAAACCAAGTTGCATAAATGAAAGAATACCATAAATAAAAAATTGATAACATGTTAAAAACCAAGCTGTATTGCTAAAACCTTTTAATGTAAATAAAAGTTCCTTAATAAAAAAAAAATGAAATGGAATTTTTAGTTTTATTTTTTATTGAAACTAACTATTAGATAGCTATAAGCTACATAATATAAGAAAACTTGTGCAGATAATCCAATAAAACGAATTGGATGTTGAGGAGATAATGATGAATATCGTTTGGAAAGAGAGATTTTTGATGTAGAATGTGTTATTCCTTCATGTTCGTGAGACCTCATATTACCAGTTTCATTCGTGTCAACTGTGGTTGACACTTTGATCAATGAATGAGATGGTAATGATTTAGAGTCTACAAGTCAAAAATGATACACATGAGTGGCCAATATTCTTTCTCATAGTCAAACACGTGAAGTTACCTTGATGATGTATTTTATTTATTTCCATTGATCTAAATACATTGATTGATATTGTCTAACTCGAACAAAAATCTAGAATAATTATGATTGAATCGTTTTTTTCAACCAGTCATGAATGTCAAAAAAAAAACACTTCTTTTTCTACAACTTCTCGTTTTTTTTTATTTTAATAATAATTTACCATGCTTTCTTTTTCTTTTTCTTTTTCTTTTTTATACGCTGAACCGTAAAGAAAAAAAGGTCTTATATACACGTAACACATCAACGACAAGAAACGCATTAGAAAAAAACGTCTATTTGCAATGAATATATAAATATATGTATCAGCCCATAGGCTCAGATCCGATAGAAATGCTAAAAAATACAGATAGACAACAGAAAATAGAGGAAAAAAAAGAACGCTTTTTTTTAATAAATACTTTGCATTTTGTATGATCGGAACTGTGAAAGACACTGGCAATACAACATCAAGAAGAAAAAAGAAATCGAATTAAAAAAAAAAGAAAATGCAATTCGTATGTACACAAATACACTGGTGTAGAAAAATGTCAATAGAAAAAGAAAATGAATAAAATGCAAATGCAATTTGGCGTAAAAATGCCAGACGTATACTGTACTATTGATGTTTTTTCAAGCTTTTGAGAAATGAGTATAGTAGAAAATAGACAACAATCTAAAAGACCTTCAAAAATTACAGAAGAGAAAATCGGCGAAGTTTATGATAATTGTGAAAATGTACCACTATCGAATGTTCATGGTGTTGCAACAGTCTGCTTCATTCCATGAATAATAGCAAGCCAAATTATCACTGAATATCATCTAATGAACCCATACAGGGTATAATTTGTCCTACGACTTCATGAAGAAGATTCACAAGATCGAGTTGAAATTACATCACTTTGGTAGGCATGTAACAAAATACCCACACCCTCAGGAGAGCTCTTTTTTTTCCAGACAAAGTCTATTTTGATTTAAATGGTTTATCAATAAATATAAAGTGAAGACCTATGCGTATGAGATACATATAAAGATTTGGTTGAATTCAAAATAAGAACCGATAACGAAAAGTAATTAATTCGAAAATAAACCTCCTACAATATTTTCTTAAAGATTTCGAAAACTATGTATTTAATGTATTTCAATTGATGGTAATCATTTTGAACATTTGTTGTAAACTAAATTATGTGAAATAGAACTTTAAAACACACACTAACATATTATTAAAAAAAAATCAAATAAATTGCTTGAATTGTATCAGAGATATTTGAATCAACTTTTTCGGCGGATTTTTGGAACATCCTGTATGTGTATTTATGGGAAATCTCGAGAAGGGTGTGAGTGTGGGGTGTGGAGGGGGGGAGTGGCGTATGGGCGTAGGTACGACAAAATAGCACAACACTACCCACACTCAGATCCACACCCTCTTTTTTTTTAATAATAAAAATAAATCTTACTAAATATTGATGTCTTCAATTTAGTGCCACTAGTAAATGTTCTCGTTGGCGATGACCTATATGCACTTCGTTGGATATACGAACACCTAAAGAAACAAATACCAGTGATTATTGTTAATGTAAATCTACACGATTTGATTAAAGTTTGTGAATAATTTTATTTTATTTTATATTTTAGCAAAGTAGATCCTTGGCTAATTTAATTTGCAAGTATTTAAAATTGACAGAAAGTAAGTTCGAGTATAGAGAAGATTTCTACCAATAATCTTTTTTAATTTAAGATTCTTTGAAAGCAACAACGCAACATAGAGACGATTCCACTAAACATGAACACGAGAGCAAGAATACTAATCATCTACCGATGCTCAATCATTATTTTTCAGAAAAAATGTGAGTTTATATAGAATAAAATAAAACAAACTATAACTATTAATTTAAATAGTTTGAAAGAAGTGTTTTATCCCTTGGGCAAGATTATTGTGAATATTTATAAAGACTTACAACAGCTCTATAGTATTATTTGACAAGAAGAATATGAATATTGTGGAAAGAAACTACCCGTCGACAAATTATTTGACTTGAATGATGAAAACATTTTAAAAGATTATCTTCTCTGGTTTGCAAAATGTTTAAAATCGTCTTGTCGAGATTTTATTCATGTGTTCGATTTCAAGCCAACAAGTTCATTGCAACACACAATTTACAATTCTTTAGTTCAAGGTTTATCCAACATTTCTTTTTTTTATTCTAATCTCATTTATAGTTCGTCGGTAATGAAGTACTTTTTAGACTCATTCACAATAATCACTATAACATTTAGCCTAAAGAACTAATGATGCTTTACCAGTGATAAAAGTAGAAAAGTTCATTTTCTATAAAACGAAGATAAATGAGAAACAGACTCACAGAAACTTGTAAATCTTTTCGTTTGATCATCGAATCAAATCACACAGTGTCTCAATAGAATCATAATCAAAAAGTGATTTTCTGTCAATATTAATAAATTTTAATATTCTAGCACGAAACAATATGCCAGAAACTAAGCATAAATGTCCAGTGACTACCGATGATCAAATGTGTATGGCACTTCGCTGGAGTATTACATATGTCACTGATGATGTATTAACGTTAAATGCGATCGTTTGGAAAGATATTAAAAAGGTAATACTGTTTTGATTATTCATGTAAATGTAATTCTTTCATTTTTTACAGGTCAAACAAAATCGAACATTACTAATCGATGCACTCAACAAAAACTTACAAGTATTCATCAATAATTTGATCAAGCTTGATATTGATCTTGCCGAGTTATTTGTTCCTATCAGTGACCTAGAAAATGGACAAGCAAATTCCTCTTGGGAACAATATCTAAAGGAGGTATACTCGAATAAAATGCGTATAAATGTAAGAATAATTCATTTTTTGTTTTTTTGTATTGTGAATATCACCATCATAAAAGAACATTTATATTCTCTTCTTAGCATGATCGACTCTATCTTTTGGATAGGATAGACACAGCAATTAATTTCAGCGAAGAAAAACATTTATCAATTATTATCAAAAAATTAGTTGGTGATTTCATGAAACCAATTTACAAATCGAACAATTCATTTAAATCGAATTCAAAAAATTTTGACACCGATAATATGCAAAAACAGAAAGATGCTGAATATATTTATCGTGATATTTTTCTCTGGTGTATTTTGACACATCGATTAGAAATGGCAAAAATTTTTCTTGGTCAAATAAAAACTCGTATATGTTCAGCATTAATAGCTTCAAAAATTTT